CTTGGTAGCATGGCCTTCTTTTACCGGGGACCGGTCTCTGCGTTTGGCCTCTTGCATGCTTCGGTCGTTAGACTGCTTCTTGTCCACCTTATTCTAAGCTATCTCGGACTCCTTCTGAGGATGTTCAGGTGTCTTGTTCACTCGTTGGGCCTCATCCTAAAGCGCATGCTTCTCTACTTGAGCAAACGAATCTGCTAGAGTTAGGTATTCTTTCATGATCAATTTTCCAAATAGAGGATGATCTGCTGGAGTCACTTTTGGAAGGCTGTGCTGGCCATCGAGTCGTTGCAGCCGACTATCTTTGCCTTCTCCACCTTGAACCTCTCAGGGTATAGAACCAATCCTACGCCTTGTCTTGCAAAGTAGTGGTGAATATCTTGCATATTAAAGCATCATTGGCTCTGTAGAGGATCATCATGTTGATGTAGTGCTTCAAGTGCCTTTCTGAGTCTGTGTCTCCCTTAAATAGGGTGAAATACGGCGTATTGAACTTACACAAGGGCTCCATCTGCTCGATCTCGTCCATGAAAGGTGATATTCCCATGTGTGCCACGTCCTTACGAAGGGCATCACTTGTGGTCTTGATGTACTGGAATTCGTGCAATCGCTCAGTTATGAATCTCTCTACTTCTTCACTTCTTCTTGAATTTGCCTCTGCAGGGCAGCAGGGCTTCTGGCTGCCCCCGGTTATGACCTGCTGGTCTCGACTACTCTTCCATATGCTCAGCTCATCTATACTGTGGTTGCGGTGCATGTAGTACATTCCTGGCAAGGGAATAGATTAGTCATAGGTTGCCAGTCTACTTCGATGTGAGGTGGATGATGCTCCTTACGGGCTTAGCTGGGAATAAACACTTCGCTTGGAAGGTTGTCCATGTCGATTATCGAAGTACGACCCCAATCGTGAATGTATGCTCATCCGAAAGCCTAACCTAGAATGCACGCTCATTCGCGCGCTAAGATGAGAGTATACGCTATCTCAAGGGCCCAGGCGAAAGCGTATATTGCCAAAACACTCGATTTGTGGTTGGAGAGAAACATCATCACATACCTTTGTCCTACTTTGAGACACCTCGTCTGAGGCATGTTGCATCTCAGTGCGCTGTAGGAGCTGATTCACCAAGGTAGTCTACTATGCAAGGGCGTTTGTCAACTCGGCGACCTGTCATGATAGGTGTTGTTCACCATTTGGAGTGGAAGAGCTGGGATGGTAGACATCTACCTGAGTAGTGGAAGTGTAATGGACTCCAGGTGCAAAGCTTGAGTGAGGATGGGTCATATCTGCAGTAAAATAGGGTGAAAATATCCTTGGTTCTACCGTTGGCCTCGAAATCTGGATCTGGGCAGGTTAAATTGGTTTGGGACCATATTGAACCGTCTAGAGTGCGGCGAAAACAGGTTGGGCACATGGGTGCTAGGCCGCCTCGGTTTGTTCTACTTGGCCTTAAGCTGGAGGCGCGTTGGGCTCATGTTAGGTTGCAACTTGAGTCGCGGTTGACGTGGCTTGGGCTGCCTAGGTCTGGGCAGCTTGCGTCCAAGTGAATGTGGTCGACACTAGGGGTTGCTGTGAGGGCGAGCAACTACCTGAGCCTGTGCCTGTGCCTGTGCCTGCTGGCTACTTGTGCTATGGGCCTCATGCACTAGGGTTTCCTCATGATGAGTGGAGGTTACCCTGTGGGCCATAACAGTGACGGCTACCATTATTGGCATAGCCACGATACCTCGTTAAGGCAAAGGAGCGGTCATTGCCATGGTAGGCCTCAATGAGTGACAACGTAGAGCCACGTCACAATCTCCATCAGTGGTCCATGTCCTTCAATGTAGAGGGTCCCATGGGTTGTAGTTTCTAAATTTCCTGACATTGTATTTGTGGATCTACGAACGAAGAAAGTTGAAAGCAATAGTCTTTTTCAAGTCTTTGAATCAGAGCTTTTAATGAAAGCACCAATTTGTGGATGCAAATTTCTGCCTTCCTATGATTAATGAATATGCGCCTACAAAATAATGACACCTTTTGGCCTCACGCGCCCGTGATGAATGGGAAAGGGCTTTGTTGAAGAATCTCTGATGCCAAAGTTAGAATTCTAGAAAGAATGTGTTTAGAAGTTTGTGGGTAGCAAAAACCTCCAAAATTTTAGAGATAAAAGGTGGATTTATGGGAGAGATAGAGGAGATGGGCCGGTCCTCTAGGGTTTAAGGGTGGCCGGCCCTAGGCTTGTGTTTAAGTGGGAATATTCCAAGATATTTGTGTAAATAAATATCTTACAGTGATTTGGTAAATATCCTAAATAAATGGGATTATCATTACTTACTTGAAAGAAGCCTTCTTTGATTAGGAATGTATTTATGATAAGAATAAGGAATTATCTTATCATAAATACCTTTGACTTTTCCTATGCGCAAGTGTGCCTTGAGCAGTTGTTGATCTTTACCTGCTCTACCTCAGCTGCGCATGGTGAATGAGATTGCTTTCTGCTTATTTAATAGGGGCAATCTTATCTTTCTTAGGGAATCATCCACGTGTCAACTCCATAATTTTTTGGATTATTTTTTGCTCCACACTCCTCGGTCCATAAATCCTCCATTGTTTGCTAAATGCTTACTTTCGATTGAGAAGCCTCATATGGCCAATGTGTTTACTACCCACCTCGAGAGCGAGTCATCACTCACTCAGATAAAGGTGTGCAAAATTGCTTTGTTGTTGGTTTAGGTCTTCATGCTGCCTACTTCTACGGTTTTGATGGTGTTTTGTCTTCTTACTTTGTTGGCATAAGAAGTTTTTCCTTGTTGGTCCTCGGGTGATGGATATGGTTATTGGGGTGGGTTGCTTATTTCTTTTGCTGAGTATTTTACAGGCAAAATTGTGTATTCTTTGTGCATCTTTGTTGTTGTGTAATTACGGATTAGATTTGTTCTTCAATTGGGACTTATTTGCATTTGTGGTTAATTTTTATGGCCTTTTTTTGTTAGTGTTGATCGCGTATCGGCTGATCCAAACAACGAATTGGTGAGGTACATAATGGTTCTGGTAATGACGACTCTTGTCAACTGACAAAGCCTAATTGGACCATCATGTGATTTGCTTGGGCTTCTTTGTCCACTTGGCCTACTAGCAGGTTTTTTTATTTTTATTTTTTAAGTTTATCCCATATAACATTTTTTATTTTTTTATTTTTATCAATGAAGATTATGTTTGACACAAAAGAAAAAAAAACGTAAAGGTTCTTTTTGGGCTATTGAAATCTTAATTTCCCTAATATTTCAAGTTTTTTAAGGTTGGTTCGTATTTCGAAATTGCATGCTTTTATATAGGTTTATTAATTTGCTGATTCAACTTAATTATGTGCCATTGATAGGTTTTGTTTGGGCTTTCTTTTTTACTTCCTTCGCTTTGTAATTTTTACAAGGATTTTACCTATCTGTAGATGTATCTAGTTACAAGTTATTATATGTGGATCAGTTGCGGGAAAGAGGTAACAAACGAGGTATTTTGTAGAGCTTGGTATTTTTTTTTGTTTTTTTTGGACAAATGATAGATTTTGTTAGATTAAATCTTAGATTAGCTATCAAAGAGGTTTAAACCCACGCCGTTATGCAATGGCTTAACACATTTCCATCGTTGTGGTAAAGGACCACTTGCATTTTGTAGAGCTTGGTTTGCTAGCTTGACATGGTGAAAAATGTGGATCAGTTGCCAGAGGAACAAAGAAAAGAATGAAACGTTATGTTTTCAATTAAGTATTTGACACTTCTTGTTAGTTATCAATGAATAAATTGATTTTAATTTAAATCGTGTTCGTTTTGAGTTTGGATATAATTATAGGTAGGTTATGTGAAATGAGCAAGGACATGATTCGGGAATAGAGGCATTTAGTAATCAAATTGAATTTGATTCTAATTTGTGTGAATTAGTAAACAGTTTATATGATTCAATACTATTAGTACTCAGATTTTTAAAAATTTTAGTACACAATTTCAGCTGAAGTCTGACTCTAATTCCATTTCATTTCAACTCCTCCTCAATTCAATTCATTCTCAATTCCTGTCATTCGGATTACAAATTAGTATAAAGTAATTTCTTTAAATGTTGTTAGGGGTTTGTCTTTTTGTAGTTAGCTTCTGTAGGATTTTTATTACTAAAGAATTGTATTCTTTTTAACAAATGAAACAATAATCGAAGTTCCAATCATTTTTCCTTCTTCTCCCTTTAATTTCTTAACATATCAAAGCATGGTTTTCAATACATATAGAACTACAGACTTTGGTTTTCTGGAGCATACTCTCTTTTTTAAAATAAAAGAAAATTAATGATCTCATGCTATAATAGGTTTCATGTTGTAAAAATAGTGTAAATGCCCACTGTGAAAATTGTGTGAATTGAGACATGATGACTTTGGACATCGGATCATGGATTGGTAGGCATTGGTCGAGAGAGGGCTCTCGTCAGATTCTCTTTGTAAGGATTTTGGAGATCTTCAATTCACATCAGGTTGTAAATTTTTTTATTTAAAATTGAATATAAACAGTACCTGACGAAAACTAACCGCACAATTCACCTTATTTCCTTAAACTGACAAAAACTGACGAAAATTGAATACAAATACAGTTATTGCGTATAACATCTCCGTTTTTTTTTTTCCTTAAGGAATGGACTCGTTGAGAAAACCTTATTTCTTTGCAATTTTCTTCAGCTTTAGAGTGTATAATCACCTTTCAAAGTGTAAAACTTAAACTTTACGGGTTCTAATCTCGAGTTAGTTGATGGCTTCGATTATGTGTTTTAAGTAGTATCAAAGTTCAATAAACTTTATCATAAGGTGAGATTTTGTCGAAAGGTCCATCCTTTATAAAAGAACGAACGTGCTACAAAAAGAATCTCTATTGCTTTAACTTGTTTTTGATACAGTAATATTTGACACTAAGTGGAAGGAGGATATGTACTTTATGGAGAGGGATTGGCAAGGCCACACAATGGCCCAACCACTTACTAGATATCAAACTCAGCACAAATATTATACATCCGCGCCATCCATTTAAATCGAACATGAGACCTCTCACTTACAATTGAAGATGAATGCCACTAGACAGTAATACTAGTTGGTTTAGTCGCTTGAACTTTGTTTGCTTAAAGTTGCACTTAATGAGGGTTCTCCTTAATCATTAATTTTATACCAAAATGATTATAAAGCTAGTAACTCACCTTCTCTTTACTTCCAACACTTCCAACAACATAGCATCCCATCAGCCTTGCAAACTGCCCAACAAGCTGACCAACTGCACCAGCTGCGGCAGAAATGAAGACATAATCTCCCTTCTTCGGCGAACAGATTTCATGAAAACCGACGAAGGCAGTTACACCCGGCATACCTAAATGATTCAAAGAAATAAAAGATTAATATAGTGATTATACAAAGTATGAACATATATAACTCATAGTTTTGATGAAGAACTAACGCATACCAAGAAGTCCAGTATAGTAGGAAAGGGGAACATCAGTGTGGTGGATTTTAAAGAGCTGTTCTGGTTCTGTGATGATGCTGTACTCTTCCCATCCTGTTGTCCCCCAAACCAAGTCACCTTCCTTGAACTCCGGGTGCCCCGACTCCAAAATTTTAGCCACTCCAAACCCATTTAATGGCTGAAAAAATACATCAACAAGTATTTATTTTCAGATTTTTCATTTAGTGAATTCAGTTCTAACATGATTAAGCCAGATGATTGAATCTCAACCCTCTAAAATGAGAAAGCATAGTGATTTCATACTCCGTCTTCTCCTTCCCCTATACTATTCTTTGATTTATACAATCCAAAAAAAGAGAGATGAGTGTAGAGGAGATAAGGGAGAGTGAGAAAATAATTATCTGATAAAAAATACTTGGGTATGGTCATTCGTGCTACGTCAGTCATCTGCCCATGAAAGGCAAGGGTGATTCCCTGCATTCAAGCCCTACAAAGGCCTATTTTGGTGCCTCTGAATGCAGGGAATCCCCTTATGCGTGTCTTAGGCAGGACGTGGAATGTGGAACGGTGGTTCTTGATCACCACTGCCTTGGAGTCCTACAATCTATAAATCACAAAAATACATAACCAAAACATAACATTGATAATCATGGAACCAAACAGAAAATCAGGAAAGGCAAAGAGATTGCTCACAGAGCCAGGAGTGAGTGAGAAAATAATTATCTGATAAAAAATACTTTTTTTTTCTTGCCAAAGATGAAAAATAATTGGGTATGGTCATTTATGCTACGTCAATCATCTGCCCAAGACAGGCAAGGGAGATTCCCTGCATTCAAGCCCTACAAAGCCTATTTTGGTGCCCCTGAATGCAGGAGATCCCCTTATACGTGTCTTAGGTAGGACGTGGAATGTGGAACAGATGGTTCTTGATCACCACTGCCTTGGAGTCCTACAATCTATAAATCACAAAAATACATAACCAAAACAGAACATTGATAATCATGGAACCAAACAGAAAATCAAGAAAGCCAAAGAGATTGCTCACAGAGCCAGGAGTGATTGAAGTGAAGACACTGTTAGGAGGTTGAGTTCTATTCATTCGAAGCCTCAAATAAGGGTCGCACGACAAGTAAAGGTTCTTGACCACCACTGCCTTGGAGTCCTGTGGAACCTTGAGCTTCAAGGTACTAACTGTCACGTGCATGTCGGACTCTTCGGCTTTTTCAGAGACATAGTTCTTCAGTATCACCTGCTTGTTCCTCACTTCCTCTGCGCCACTCGTCATTGCCATTGCCATTGCCGTTGCTCAACCAAAACCAAACTCTATATCTTTTCAGGTCCTCTGTTTCTTTGAAAAATATGTAGCATTTAATTTACGCGTAATGTTAGGATGATCAAAATTTTAAACCAAATTATATGATTGTTGATGATTGGATTAGTATATTGATTAAAGTGCTTATTTTTTATTGGTAACGTGTCATTTGGTTTACTTAGCATTATCCTTAATTTACATATCAAAGTTTGCTTGATTTTGTTTGTCAACGTGTTTGAGGTGTTGTATGGTGGCACGTGTATGGTTGGATATATCTCCTTCCATTCCATTTCTGCTTAAGAAAGCTACGGTTATGTCATTATCTTAAGGAATCATAGATGGAACTAATACTATAGCTGTCAAGAAAAGTCCATGCTCCTAATCTTTAAGAGCATTCCACCACACGAATACACTGACGTTGCCACATGGGGTCCCTTGTCATTCAAGCAACATAACCAACACAAAGTTGTTGTTCGCGAGACCAACTTACATGACATAAGTACACCGCCACTATAGTGTTTGGTGTCAATTATACAATGCCACGTGGAAATATACTTGCATGTAGCGTTGCCCACATGACACGAAACATCACGGTAACGATGTTGGTTAATACAAGATGCCACAGTTACTGTATAATCGTTCCATGGAAGTCTTTCTCGTCATTCACTCTCCGAAAAATCATCATCAAACTCCTTTTATGTCAATATAGTGAATGAATGTTAAACATTGTGCATATAATAGTTGAGTATTTGTAGGAGTGTCGTCATCTGGGAAAAACAGTAACATTCACAATTTCACACAGAAACATAGCTGCCTGTGTTTGATGTGTAAAGGATACTCTGTCCAGCAACAGCATGGGATTTCTAATCGCCAAAGCGTCGTCCATGAACCTTTACTAGGACATAAATTCTAGCTCATTCAACTGGGAAAAAATTAGTCGTTTTACACCACAAAGACGACACTTCATTTTACGTCACTCCATATACCCTGAAAATAAATCAATCAAAAGGAGGAGGAAGACAACCGTTGATTTCGGCAACCGAAAAAGAAAATGTAGAGAACTGAACAAGATTACAAGGCAGAAGTAATGTGCTGCTGCGTACAAAAGCTGAATTAAGGAAGAAATTATATCATAAATATCAATACTGGTGTTTTTCTATTAGACAAGCTAGGAAACTATTGAATTGCATCTCAGACAACTTAATTACATCACAGTTGCCCGCTTGTTTCATCGAGTTAAGGCGAAAACTCTACATATTGATTTAAAACGGTAACTATAAATAAGCAAAGTTTTTTATAGAGAGGCCTAATCTGTTCCCAATAAAAATTTGTTGGAAAATAATTCGATAGAGAGGCCTAATCTGGAAACGGCGGAAGCAGCACTACAACTCTCACCTTGAAAGTTCTACAGATGAATTTTCGAATGATTTTCAGCACTCTGGAGATGAATTTTGTTGCTCAATTGATCAGGTTACTGTTTAACTCTAGAATTTACTAACCACGAAGATTTTCGTGGAAAATTAACACTATTTACACATTTTCCCAGCATAAATGGTAACAGAGACATGCAAACAATTATCGCATCTGCATTACCTTATAGATGAAACAAGCAACTTGCAAGCATTTACTATAGTAAATTTATGCTTCAACAGGGTCTTTCGCTCCCTCAGTTCTGTTCTCTTCAAGTGGTTTTCTGACCGTCTCAACCGTGGAGACTTCTTCCGTACCATCTTCGTCAGAACTACCCTTGTTGCTAACGAAGATCCCTAAAAAAAGTAGTACAAGCTTATTAACCTGATGCCGCTCAAAAAAATTAACTCCTTTTAAAAATTTATAATACCAGTTGAACAAATTATTATAACTAATTGTCCTTAACAAACCTATGAACCATATTCCAGACGCAAGAAACAGAACAGATGTCACAGCAAGAGTTGTTATCCTCCAATTTTTAACATGGTCCTACATATGAAAAGAACAAAACCCAAAACAGGAAAAACGAACATGGTGAGGATGCTAAACCGACAAGACAACCCTTCTATGAAAATTCACTCCAAACTGAACACTGGAATCAACTTCTTTCCCTTGCTGTCAGTATACCACCTAGGAGCTGCTTCTCCAAATACCAACAGTAATAGAGTGACACAATTATATCATCTAAACATCAGCAGTAATCTCCACTTCTCAAACAAATTATATAGAAACGAACTTTGAAGGCGCACCTGGAGTATTCCAGCAAGAGGTGAGGAAGGAACATCACCAAAGATGTGGATTGAAACAGTTGAGACAGCCATAGCCAATGGCCTAAGACTTGGTGTCACGCACCGCAGAGACACATAATTAACTGGAGCCTGCCAAGGAAAAGTGATTAACACGGCAAACGTTATATAAAACTGGAATAGTAGGTTATATTTATTATATATCAGTGAGCAGTCATTATCATATTATATGCTTCAGACGAACCACATATGTGTGGGTTTTCATCCCTACTGGTGGTGCTTATGTGCATAATCAAACATTGAGTCATGGCGTTAAAGTTTAGTAGACAAGATCATACTCATCATATACTAATCCACTCATTATTATAAGCAGACTATTACAAATTCAAGTTTAGCGTGCACAGTATGCATTGAAACCACCAAAGTTCAACCCAAATCGGAGAATTTTAAGATTACCTGGGTTGCAAACACAAGGAGCTCCCCCAATGCGAAGAGAACTACAAAACCATACAAGTTCCTTACACAGAAGGCACTGAAGCAAAATATTGCGCCTAGAAATGTTGCAACAGAGAGAAGCTGTGAAAGAAGCAAAGGGTTTCAACAGCACATTCTAATAAAACATGTTAAAGAAGACCGTATTGTAAACGCTGGACCCAAGCAGAACTCACCTTAAAAGCGTTATAAATTGTGGCAGTCACTGCATCAAGGATGAGCCCTCCAGCTAACGTCCCCAAAATTCCACAAACAATTGTAATACCTCCGAACCACAAATCTGGCTTATTCTGTCCAAAGTTCCAATGAACGAGAATACTGTCAGAATTGTTAGAATATTATTTCCTTTATGCTAGACTGCCGTTATTAATATAGTCTATTATATTCCGATAGTGCATTTATAAGGTAAAAGAGCTGATCCCATAAGTAATATCACTGGGAGATCATCGATATACCAACGCTTTTGATAGTTAAGGTCAAAACTCAGTTTCCTTTTAGCAAAAAAAGCTGGATTACATGACCAAAAAAAAAAAAAAAAAAGAAAAAGGAGCAAAGGGCTATACCATATGATAAATGTCATAACCAGCCTTTGGTCCCCAGTACGAGTAGGCTCCAATGACAAAGTTATATGACACATAACCTGCCAGTCAATTAAATTGTGAGGAAAAAAATATAAAAAGTTTGTAAATAATAAATAGCAACCTTTAGTAGCACTCTATCAAAACTTTCTCCGGTTAAATTAGTGTAAGATTGCAAACATTACCACATTTTTTTTTACCCAAGGCAGGTATACACACGTGTAAAAACATGATCAACATCTATAAGATTAAGTACAATTGAAATTACATTTTACTATATTAGGATAAAATTTTAGAAGAACAAGTAGAGGATGAGGGAGTACCTAAGACATTAGCAACATAAACTTTATCAAGCAAAAGCGCTTTCATATCTCTTGAGAATCTTGAGAGTTGGCTCAAAGACTTTGTAGCAGGGCTTGGCCTGAAATACACAAAAAGAAGAACAATCTAACAGATAAGAAATACCATTTTAGGATGTTGGATGTGTAATAATCCTGTCCTACACTCTCTATTGATTCTACCACGCTGACATTAATAAACTTTTTTTTTTTCAGTTGATTAGGGGGCTAGCGGCTGAAAGATCCAACAGTAGATTAAGAAGCAAGGTCTAGCCACATGAGACACAAGGAAAAAGAGAACAATGTATTTATTTAAACATGTTACTAATGTGCCCATATCTGAAATGGAACTGGCATTTGAATTGCAGATGCATTGCAACGGTTTTTGTTATTTGAGCACCCTACCTGGTAATGCTCAGCAGGTTTTCCCAGTTGACAGAGAGCATGGGAACACTTCTGAAGTGGGCTAATAATTCTATTTTTCTCATAATTACAAAGGACAGTGAAGATAACCAAGTAATAGGGAAAAAGATGGATGCAATCGTTACTTACCAAGAAGCTTTTTCTATGACATCTGAATCTGCAGTTAGAAGCTAATCAGAATAAACATACAAATTTGGATAACAAATAACTTCTTGAAATTTTAAAAAAAAAAAAAAAAAGTATCAAGCATTGGAGAACTGCTTCCACACTACCATTCATAGTCATTACGTTGACCATCTTAGATCCACCCAAAGTTCCTGTCCTTACAAATGCATTTAAGGAAAAGGTAATGTAACTTATTATATCGATAAAAATGATTGAAGCTGAACAAGGTTTCTCACACATTAATACTTTTTAAGATTAACGAGGGATATCTTTTAGAAATTAAAGAATGGAAAGTTCAAATGCCCCATTGTTATCCTACACTGCTAGTAAACGACAACACAAACTGTTCTTGGGACCATTTTTGAACTAAAAAATACAGAGTAATATTTGTTTTTTGAAACATGAAATCGACTTTGCAAAACAACAATAGAACATGAAATACCTTCAATTAAAGGACTAGTTGTTTCAATAGGTTCCAAAGTTTTTCTTGTGTCAGCAGGAGCAAGACCTAAAGTTACCAGTTAAGTTACATTATAACAAATCCGATGGATCATACATAAAACATAAGCTTCTTTATCACAGACGATGCATCACCGAGTCACAAAAAGAACAAAACGACAAAATTCACCTTTCAACTCCAATGGTTTCACCACAAAAGCCAATACACAAAATGGAAGCATACTTAATGCCTCTCCCCAGAATGCATAACGCCAACTGAAACTGGATCCCACCTAAACATTGATCCAAAGCAGAATATCATTACGACAAGACATCTAACCCAGTGCAAAATCACCATGATATACAAGGATGCTACCGATAGAGAAATTTGATTTATTCAATCTAATGACCACAAATAAAGAGAGGTGTATGAAGGCTAAATTGCAGTTGAAATCAATTGCCCTTACTACAAAGAACTAAGAAGTTGAACAAGCCATTACCTTAGTACAAGGAAAGAAACGCTTAATTTTAAAACACTAGGATACATTCCAAATTCAGAAGTGAAAGGGAACCTTCAAGAGCAGAGAGTATTGCATGTTGTTTCTTGCAACCAACAATTTAAGTTATCAAACTTTTTGATTGGTTTTGTAGATTGGGAGGAAGAGAAAGTGAGGGAAAGGCCAGCAATTGCCTAGATACGTGAACCGCTATCTCTATAATTACAGACCTAAAATATTGAACAGATTTTGTCAATGATGTCATGGATATCCAACAATATCATGCGAGGTGATTGGTACCATGAGTAAAAGCGGATAGATGAGCCTACCCACAGTAAACCAATTAACAAGCTCCGATAGACCCACCCTCACCCAAAAACAAAAAGGAATTTTGAAAATTCAACCAGCAGCCTTTATATATGTACAAATATGAAGTTAGCTTGCAAAATTTAAAACTTACAAATCCGCCGTAAACATAGCCCACAGCAATTCCAGTTGGTATACACATGTAAAACATAGCAAGCCATGCTGTTTTCTGGGCCCACAATTGATAAATATTCAGCATAATTGTGAAAATAATCATCAAATACATCAAATATTGTCTACCTCTGAAACATATTTGATCGTAAAGAACAATAGGGAGGGATGAAGAGAAGGGAAAGAAAACAAACCTGAGTTGCAGGAGCATGGTCATCGATGAATGGTGCTGCAAGACTAATGAAAGATGCCTCACCAACTCCAACCAGCCTAGAATGGTAAACCTCAGTTATAAACTCACAATCTAACACAGGAAGGTGATGCTGATGCAAAGAACAAAGCCAAAGTTGTAAAATCGGAGAATAGTACAGCATTGTTGCACTCACATGCGACAAATTGCAATGGTCCAAAAGTTAATTGAACCACCACACCCGGCTGTGGCAAATGTCCAAATAGATAATCCAACTCCAATCAGCCTAAAAGGATTGTGACTGAAAAGACAACAATGCTTATGAACTTGAAACCACATCGAGCTGAGGATATCTCCATTGAAGAGATGAAAAAGTTAGCAACTCATCTCATGCATACTGTAAGTACTCACCTTTTTGCCAACGATGCAAAGATGGGTGAGGCCACAAGAAGCCCAACCATAAATGCAGATGACAGAGAGCCGTCTTCAAAATTGCTCAATTTAAAATCTCCCCTGTAAGAAACATGCCACCGTAAACCAAATACAACCAACAGATCAAGGGAATCGTGAAAAATAGTGCAAATTATTCAAACAAGTGACCCCAATTAGATGCTTCACGGATTTTCAAAAACTTATCGGAAATGAATCTAGTTTCTTGATAAACAAATGGATAATAAATGCATATGCCACAACAGCCACTGGATTAGACAGCACAATGCCAGATTAATATTGGCCTCTAAGGCTCCGAAACTTTCATAAGAAACTTTAAAAATCTTACTGAATTCCGGTACCCGCGCTGCAAATGCCGCTAGGATCACAAATCCGAATGCTACCGTTGACACCATTGCTGGCTATTGCTCCTCGATCGACATAATTAATCAAGTTAATCACACAGAACATCACGAGCAACCTGTTTTACATACGAAATAAACAAAATATTTGATCACATTCCACGAGCAACCTCTTCCCTTCAAATGCAGCTTCAAAATTTGAAAATTTACTGGCTCAATTACATTTCCAGATAAGAAAAATGCAGAAAACCCAAGAATTTTTAATTCAAGAGTAATTTAAAGGAAACTGAGTTGGGAATGTTTACCTTTTGGGGGTGAACCATGATGGATATTGAGGTGAGTCTGAGACGGGGCTCTCCGACATATCTGGGTTGGGAGGATCGGACGGCGGAGTAGGGGTTGGAGGAGGCGGTTGATGGTGGTGCTGCTCTTGCTGCTTCTCTCGTTGTTGTGATTCCGCCATAATAATGATGAGATCATGAGAGAGAGGAGAGGAGAGGCAGGGGTGGAGAAAGAGAGCCTTGTTCCGCAAGCAACCTCCAAAGTTTACAGCACCCTCTGCCTCTGCCCCCTCTCTCCTCTCTCAGGACACATCTTTAACCATGTTTTGAAACTCATTTTTATCTATTTATAGAAAATAATAACAAAAATTCGTTTTAGTAGTATGATCTACGGGTATTTCTGTTCGAATGGCGAGAGTTAGTAGATTAATAATTATACCATAAAATAATACTTAAGCAAACAAACCATCAATATATATCATAAGGCCATAGTTAAGAGTATTTTTATTTATGAGAGTAACACTGCCATGTCGGGTTAGTACTGATCCACCTATACAATATTTGGTGAGCAATAAGATTAATATTTTGTGAACCTAAATTATAGAATTAGTGAATAGAGAAACGACTGCAAGTAGTGGATTGCTTTGGTAGTTAGAACTTTCCTCTTTGTTCCTCGTGTCTGGGGTTCAAAACTTCCCTTTCCCCTCCAGTCCCCATTTGACTTCTTGTTTATTTATCATTTTTTAATTGAGATTAGAATAATAATGTAGATGTCTGCCTAGCCACATTAGTTAGAGCGTATGTGCTCTCCTTAGAGTTCATGTCCACCTCATGACAATTTAGATTGGTTTAAAACGGTCCGGTTACAATTTCGCACTCTATAACATAGAACTTGTTTTAGAAATGCTTTTAAAACTACTAAAAGCGCTATCGGAAAAAAATGTTTTTGGGTTTCAAAAGCACTTGAAGTGCATTTAGGAGAAGTACCAGTTATGTGCTTTAAGTTTAAAAAGCACTTCCAAACACACCCACAACATAAGAAGAAAGTAGGTTTTGCAGTAGACAATTACATCCACACTCACCCAAATTGCGTAAATCTGTTTCCACTAACTAATTAAACTGTAACAACTTGACACCATTTTACACACATTAAACAGATACAGAAACCCAACTTTCTTATTCACCCGCTCATAACTACTCGGTTTCGAAACTGTACATCTCTAGAACCCAGCTCTCGGCAACGGAAAACCTGCATAGAGGAATAATCAAGCTCTAACACACGCGTTTATGTACACGTTCACAAATTTTTCAAGGCTGTATACGCAGAAGTATGGATGTCGCAGCACTCAGCATCCCACGAGAAGTCCATTTCCATGGCATCCGTTATCTTTCTCTTCCACTTCGACGGGTTGTTTTTCTTCAAATAACAGGACAGCAAATTTCAACAACTTTAGCATCTTAATAATAATTGGGAGTTTAGAAGAGAATCTGAAAGTTTAATGACCAGGTAAAGAATCGCATACAATTTCATCCAGGGCTTGGCTTAGAGTCATATTTCCAAACGTAGAGCTGATGAAACGTGAGAAATTAGTTGTCTCGTAGTTATGCTCGACAAAGTTCCTGTTCAAAGTTATAGCCAATGAGACATTTATAATTATACTTTCAAATGAAATAACAGCACAAGAAAATATAAACATCTGTACGTTTTCATTCCGAATAAGAAAACTTACCCAAACCCCTCGTCGTTGGAGTTTACTGTAATTGGAGCAGCTCCGTATTTTAAAGCTTTTAGCTACATACAATGAATAATTGGACATCAGACAAGGAAAATTATTTCCGTAAGTACATTTCTCGGGAAATTTTAAAAAGTATTAAAATCAAAACTAAAAGGAAACTAATACTAGGGAGACGGAAGGAGAGAACTAACTGGAACTTGAAGGTCTGGGTCATGAAAAGATTGGCATAAGATAATATCAGATCCCGCGAAAACCAAATGTGATAACGCTTCATCATTCCCATCTATGAATTGCACATTTGCCTCCTGCAGCCAAAGGAGAACACAAAATATGTATAGGTGACACAAAAGGCAAGCAACAACTTCTGTTCTCACATCAAAGAAATACTGCCACTTACGACCTAATAGTTATATACATCAAAAGAATAAAAAGAATCTCATAAACACAACCATGGGTTGCATTTAGCTTGAACATATTAGGGTCTGCAGAAACTTTTGTTAAGACAGAAAAGATCAAAATACAAAAGCAATATTCTAAAATGATTTGCCACAAATGTCATTAACACAATGAACAAGAGGCGACCTGTACCTTCAAGGGTTCATGCAATGATCCCAACTTGTTTACACTTGATATTTTGCCAATCCCCATGACGATGAACTGTAACAAGACACTTAACCATCACATCCATGAGAAACAATCTAGAAAAACAACTTAAATACCAGGTCTTTAAGGAAAGTTTTCCAAAAGAAATGGCTAGTTATTTCTTCCCTGCTACCAAGCACGCTGACCATTACTTTTTTTTTAAATTACCCTTTGTACATCGTAAAGGCGTTCAGCAAGTCTCGGCCACTAAGCCATACATTTTTCTGATGAGAAAAGAAAAAGGGGAAGTAACTACCTGTACATCAATCCTGCTAGTTTTCGAAAATATTTCCCTCAGCTTCTCCAGATCAACATCTGATACTTTAGAGAAGACGCATCCAACCTGATAAAATATTCGTAATTTGTTGCATTTCCAGTAAAAATCAGAAAACAAGTATAAAACCTTCCATAAAAAATGTAGGTGAAAGAAACATAAAATGAAAAGAAAATTAAGTTATTCTGAAGACAAGGCTTCCCTGAGCAAGCAGTCCCATACCATAGATTAATTAGATTAATTTCTGAAAGACAATCAAGGCTTAACTCGTAATGTGGATTTTGTCAGATAAGTTAACACACATCTAACCAAAGAATGTTAATTTTGTCCGTGTTTTCAACTTTTCACCCACCTAACATGGTTACCTAAGAAATAACAGGTCGTAACACACCAAGTACAAGCTAATGAAAACTAGGTGTTCACAGCTCAGATAACCTCAGATGCATACGTACAAGAAAAGTAGAAGCATGCTCGGATAACCCAAGGTGCTGCTGCAATGCAGCTTTGCAGACTGTTTTCCCTTTCATATCCTTCGCATTATACTGTACAGGAAGAAAGTTGTCCGTGGACGGATCCCAGGTGGAGTTGTCAAATCCACAAGGGGCAATAATCACTTTGTTTCTGAAAGAAAATGGGAACACTAGGTGAATTTTCTTTCAGTGTAAGAAACCAAAAGAATCTGCATGAATGTTTGAGTGAGCTACTTACTTGTGAATGTTCAAGGTAGGATCCAACCCATGACTCAGACTCTGAATAACCCTGCCTTTTGAAAGTATGGATGACATAATGACAACTTTATTGGAGTAAACAACTCCACCCTGCAAATTTATAGAAAATAAAACCTCCAGGGGAATCCATGCCGCATATTAAAGGAAACTAGAGCTTCCAATAAAGAAGGGACTTTGAAGTGTGGGAAATAATATTGAATAACAAATGAAATGAGCTGGAAACCAGGACATCATAGCAATGCTGCCTTTTTATGTGTTCTCCAAACTTATAAATGGAAGCTGAAATTTGAGGGAATACAATGAAAAAGCAAACATAAAAGAACTAGAGCCTATGTATTGCAACCGTTATAAATAAATATACTTAATTACCTTGGCCTCCTTCACAATTGTATCATAACCAAGCCAATTTCCGTTCAGTTAAAAGTTGAAATGCATTCTGAATTAAACAGTAAATCATTCATAAAGTCACCACGTCAAGGCTGGAATGCATTCTTATTTCACATCATACTCAGGAAAAACGGAAACAATACTCAAATCCTAACCCATGTTGTTACATTGTCAAAATTGGAAAAATTGCGGGAAGTTTCTCAGACATAAGATAAAATAGTGACTTTAACGTCAGAAGACTAATACATGCAGTCATTGAAAAATATCTATCCAACTGTGTATATTATGCGTTAGTTACATGACATAAGATATATAAAGGACGGTGAATTCCTGTATTATCTTGCAAAAAATTATCAAGAGAAGAGAGACAGAATAGCTATGGAATATACCTTCAAGATATTAACAAGATGTGCCTTGGTATTATCTTGCAAACGATCAGGACGGTGAAGTCTAGCAGGATCGAGTCCGCATAACTCTAGTTTCTCTGGATGCTCAAGACACTAAAGTATCGAAACACAGAGCATTATAAATTGGATCCATGTGAGTGTGTAAAGTTAAAAACAAAAATATACAGCTACTTGCCTGTGAGTTGAGGTCATGGCATGTCAAAAGAATTCTTGTACCTTCAAGTCCCTGTACAGATGTGGAAAAACAATTATACGGTAGCACGAATTCCATGCCAAAAATAAATAAATGTTTTTCTCTAACCTGCAACCACAAGTTGGGAAGGGGCAAGAAAAATACAACAAGATACATTAGAAAAATTGACTCTCATGTGACGGAAAACTAAAGCAGCCCGTGACATCAGTACTGTGATGAACATTTAAGGTACTTAGATTGGCTTCCATGTTGACCACATAAAGTTTTCTGCCTTTCCACATCCTTTACAAATTTCCTTAAGCAATGTGCAAGTTGTATAATGCAGGACAGACATGTTACCACATAAGCAAGCTGTTAGCATCATACCATCTTCCCCACTACATATTTTCCATAATTCACACTGAGACATTGCCCTCAAATTATATCCATAGGAAAAAGAGCTTCCTTATTCAGTACTTATTAAGTAGCTAATTAAGTTATAACATCTCAACCAGGAATCAAATTTTGATTATGCATGGCTAAGTACACGATGGGCTGCGCACACTTAGCTGCTTATTAGATCACTCTGTACACATACATTATAAATTTTTGTAAATATATATTAAATACGTCTTCCAAGTTGCATTGCATTAAGTTTCATTAAATGAAATGAATTACTTGCAAATTTATTCTTTGAAAATGAATATTAAAAGAAAGGTTCATGCTCGGGAGCAAGGAGAAGGATGCGGTAGTACTTATTTAATGGTATTCAATATAGAGCAAAGAAAATACAGTTTTAAGCTGTACCTGTTTAACAGTAATATCCCAGAAAAGTGGCCCAACAATAGCAGTCTCCCAGTTGTGGATATGTATCACATCAGGACGCTTTCCAGATTTTACAATATAATCCAATGAAGCACGGGAGAAATAGGTAAACCTGAATGCATCAAATACATGAACCATCATAGAAGAAATTGTTCATGGCAGAGCTAGATACCATATTAGATATAATCTCCTAAATATGGAGATACGGCACCACAAAAGTTAGGCCTTTTCTTGTATAGAGAGAATAAGATACCCATGAGTATCTGAATTCATGATGGTTTTAAAAGCCCAAAGTGCTCAATATAATTTTATTTCTACAAGAGCATACTAGTTCAAAGTAACCCACTTTCAGTTCATAATACTTTAAGAAAAGGCCAATCTTACGAATCTATGTTTTAGTAAGGTTTCCTCCTTTAAGAAAAGGTGAATCTTACCAATCTTACAATCTTACGAATATGAGCGAAAATTATACTGACCTTTCAAAGTCATCTGAGTAGCCATATAGCCTCTCACGATTGAAAAAGGATGAGTAGTATACTGGTTGAATTAAAGTAACTCCAATGCCATAGACAATGCTGCATAACAAGTAGATAAAGCTAGATAAATACAGATTTTCAAACATAACACTATAACAACACAGATGCTTTTCTAATAAACGAGCTAGTTGGAAGTTAGTTGGTACTTTGGATCTAGAACACAGATGCGCACACGCACGCATGCCCCCAAACAGAGAGACAGACAGACAGACAGACACATGTGAAAGACCTCACCACCACACAGTCCAAGTTGATCAACGAAATAATCGGGTTTCTTAATTTTTCCCTTTTAGTCTTATGATCCTCAGCAAGAGAGGGCCCATTTAAAAAATAAAAAACATAGCCACGATAGGCTCGTGATCATAAACCATGGCCAGTTAATGGGCAATACCCATGAGCCTGGTCAAGTCTGACGTCATATGTTACTGTTAGAACTCAAGTTCTCACCCAAACGGGGTTAGCTAAATGTTGTAAGCGGTGTACCTTGAATCCAGATATATTCAACTATTCCAAACTGAATTTTCTAAAGCAAACATAAATATAGTGTACAAAGAAACAATTCAAGCTTACCCGGTCCAGATTTTGTTCCCATGCAACTGACCATTGTAATACGAATAACATTCTGCCTCAATTTCTTTTAGGCCTTGAACTTTGTTTAAGTCCAAGCTTGAAAACCTAATCACAAGGTACAGTCATGAACGAAATCATTAATAATTGTCTAGTTTTCCAGCAAAATTTATTAAAAGGTTTATAGGAACTCGTGTACAAAATAAAGTCCATCCTTTTCATTGAATGCACTTTTTCTACCAAAAAACATTCTATAAACCATCATTTTAAGAAACCATTAGATCCTTCTTTCCCAAAATTATATCTTCGGAAACAACAATTTGAACAAAGAAAAAGAGAATATTCACATTTTCCATATTCTGCAATCCTACAGGCTTTCTATCTTCATGACCGCGCATTCTAATGAAATAAGTGGCAAGTCTAGAGTACTTCAGATCCCATGAGAAAAGAACAGATCTAAGTGAACATACATGGTGTAACTATCTCTTCCATCAGCATTACTACATCAGACTCGGTTTCCTCTATCTCCCTTGGCCATTAGGAATGCGGCAGGCAACTGAATTAAGCAAGAGCTACCTAGTAGATTTCTTGGACTACACGAGGATATGTCAAAAGCATACTACTGCCACAGGGTACCTACAACAGGTTTCACTAAACCAATATTATTGTCACAGTTTCATCTTTTCTTCTAGTTATCAACTTATGATCATCCACGAATACTCATAAGAGCAATTTTTGTCTTAAAGTTCTCTATCAAAGAAAACAATATTTAGGTCTTCCTAGTTAAGCACTCTGAGTAAAGAGAAACAAAAATTACAAAGGAGGTCCCATAATTACTTTGGAAGTATCACCTCCACCAAATTCCCCTTCCTTTGTAGTGCACAAGACAAGCCTGTCACATATGAAGCCAAGGATCCGAAAGAGACCAGGGGTGCCATTTCCGTGCATACATGGACAATGTGAAAGCAATTCCTGAAAGTTCAAAATAAAACATAACATCACTTTTTGAAAGAGAAAGAAGCGACAAAAAGAATGAGAGTAAACTGCCAATCTCCCCCCTAAACTTTTAAATTGGAAAATCAAGGACTTAAACTAATTTTTTTGGCCGATTCCCCAAACCCCCCCCCCCCTCTGCCATTAGTTTTCCATAGATTCCAGCCAAATAAATGTTAACTCTTATTGCGTGCACACCACATGACTTTCCCTTGAGAACAAAAATGTCACTTCGCTAGACCTTCAGATGCAAAAGCTATAGAATCACACAGATTTGCATAGGTCAACATTTCAGAAATCTAGGGTTTTCAATTATTTTAAAGAATGAAGCTACCGAAGTACCTAACATGTTTGTGCATATGTTTTCATTTAACAGAAATTTGGATGGAAAAATGAAAAACTAACAGCAGGGGGAAATCGGCCAAAAAGTTTCAGTCCTTAATTTTCCAATTAAAAAGTTTTGTTTTTTTTCTTTTGGGGGTTTGGGGGGGGGGGTGTGGGGTGGGGTTGGTGGAGGGGAATTGAAAGATTGGCATATTGTCTTCCAATTGTTCAAAATGTACAACTTTGTTTGTCAAATATGCAAACCACTACCTTTTGATGCTCTTGGAGAAGTGACGGAGTTCAGCTAGAATCTCAGTGTCTCCTTTCTGCAGGGTGTCATTAAATACTTCAGGTAAACTAAATTTGTTATCCATAACCAGCCTTCTCAAATCGGATGCCTCCACGGTGGTAACCATTCCATTGAGGACCATTGAATCTATCCGAAAGAGTAGCTCCCAACAGCTTACCCTATCTGGTTTACAGTACATCAACAGAAAGACATTATTAAACTAACGCTCATGAACTCTAAATACTTCTTTCACTTTCAAAGAATATGATCACTGACCATTATCCAAAACAAGTAAAACAACAAAGATTTCATCACATAATGGTACATAAGCCTAAATTACACCTTAGTTCCATAGTTTAGGCTCAATTCCACTGTACTTTTTATAATTCCAATTTCAATAAGTTCATTTGTATAGATTAGTTCCCCAGCATTTTCAACGTGCTCCAAATTTACATTTCTGTCACATTGTTTGACAAAAACTTTCAAATTATAACCAAAGCATGTTCATCATGACCCGACTTCACATTGTTAAAAACAGCACACCAAATTCTTAAGAGTTCAGAATACAAGAAATATTAATACTTATCAGGGATGATTAAGGTACCTTGAGGTCTTGCAATGGCAGCCTGCTTTTCCAGCTCCAGTTGCTCAATCCTATCCACCAACAGCTCTTTCTCTCTGGTGATTTTGTTGAGTTCTTCTACCGCCTTAACTCGTTGCTGGTTTAACTGCAGAATATCTGAATTTTCATTCCAAATTGCAATGGAATTAAAACAAGTTAAAAATAAATAAACAGAAAGAAAAAAAACACAAATAACATGAAATGCAATTGAGGAGTTTGGTTTTGGCTTACTCTTCTGAGCTTCTCTGAAGAGTTTCCAAATGTCTTCGGCCCGAGAGACGGACTCCGCATTTCCATCGCCCTTAAACCTGAAATCAATTGAGATTGGAGTGATTAGATCAAAGTAAAGCAGAAAATTGAGGTTTTAGAAAATAATGATAACAATTAAGTGATTGACTGACTTCATTTCTGAGGAGGAGGAGGAGGAGGAGGAGGAGGCATTGACGGCGGAGCAGCAAACTAGTGGAGTTGGAGGTTTCTGATGCGGTGGTTGCCACTGCCACGGGCGGAGGATCGAGCTGCTCATCAGCGCCTTCATTTTTGCAACCAAACTGTGCGAGTAATGGAGGAGGAGACGATAAAAGTCGTGATTTTTCTTTTCTGTAATTTATTAATTTTGACTTAATTAGATTTGAAATCACAATTACGTTTATTAAAATATTACGTACCTGTATCCGCAACCCAACCGTCTAACTTTGCTGAATTCGTTCTTTTTTGTTTTTTCGATAACGGGTTAGATAGTTAGTTGTAGAGATGATTTTTTGTCGGATTGGATCGGCAACAAATATTTCAATACTAATTTAGAAAAGTTTTGAACTCAAATATTAGTTTTAATTTTGGGTTATCAGAATTTTTTAGAAATTTCGAAACATAATTTAGATATCCTACAGTTTGCAAGACTTTGATCTATTCATACATGATTGCAATTCATGCTCATGGTTCATCTCAAACTATCATGTGATGCACCTAAACTCGAAATTAATTTTGATGGCTCGATAGTGGGTTCTAAAACTGTTGCTGGGTTCGGCATTAGAGATGCTAATGGTTCACCGTTGTGGTTGGCGCCTACAATCTAAGAGAAGCTGCAATTTTTGTTGCTGAAGCTCTTGCTCTTCGTGATGTTTTGAGATTTTCAATAGTTAAAGGTTTCAAGGAGATGTGTGTTGAAGGAGATTCCAAACTTATTATTGATGTCATTTTGAACAAGTGTAGCACACCTTCTAATAATCATTAACAACATTATATCTCTTGCCAGTTCTTTTTCTTTTATCTCTTGGTCACATGTATTTGTGAGGCGAATTTTCTTACTGATATTATTACTAGTGTTGACCACTCGATACAGGATACTTATATTTGGGATAGTCGTTTCCCATTACTGCTACAAATACATTTTTGTTTGATTGTACTGGGGGCAGTTTTATACTAGAGGTTTTTTCTCTTTAATTAAATTTCTTTTTCTTAAAAAAAAATTAATGAAAAGAATTTCAAAAATCAACAAATAATCTTATTTAATTAAAAAAAAAAAACATAAAATATAAACATGTGTCAGCGCAGGTCCCCCCAACCCCACCCTCCCCCAATATAATTAAATAAGAAAAATACATGAAAATATTATATTATGTATGAATTAGCTAACTATAACAACTATTTTTGGATCTTTCACAAAGCAAGATAACACAAACACACGTCTGGTACTATAATGTTGTAAGGTGTATTTTCATGCATATAATAAATAATATATAAGAATGATATATGTATATTTCACTCGTACCTACTTAAGGCAAAAGAAATGATATACATATATAGAAGGTGTATCGTTAAGTTTCATAAATAGTGTGGTAAGTTTCATAAACAATGCAGTAAGTTTTAAAAACAGTGTAGTAAGTTTCATAAATACTACAGTAAGTTTCATAAATAGTACAATAAGTTTCATAAACAGTGTAATAAGTTTCATAAACGGTGCAGTATCGTTAAGTTTCATAAACAGTGTAGTAAATTTTATAAACAGTATGTGTGAGGGCACGAGGGTCATGTGCGTCACTTTCTTTTTAATTTTTTTAATAATAAAATTATGTCTTTTTTAATTAAAATTTAAGTTCTTTTGTTATTTTTATTAAATTTAAGTCTTTTTCATTAAATAAGTTATAGCATGATTTTTTTTAATTAATAAACTTGACCTAAACCCTTTTCATGAAAATTTCCCAAAATAAAAGCTTTAAAATTTTTCAAACTTTTATGTATGCACCATTTAATATATTTTTCTATTTTTTGTGATCTTTTTACGTCAGTACGTGTGTATTGTGTGTGTGTGTGTGTGTGTGTGTATTAGCCAAGATAATGTTTGTGAAGTTGGCATTTCATTTCCCTTTACAAATTGATACTTAATTTTTTGAATATTTCTATGAAAATATCAACAATTTCGTAGATATTTTAAACACTGATAGTAACAGACAAAGCAAGGGTGAATCAACAGCCAAAATTAAAAGTAAGATACAAGATTTTTTTTCAATAGAAAAAAAGTAAGATACATGATATTTTTGATAAAAAGAGATAGTGCTTTCATGGACTTTCTAGTTGAACTCTTGAACCAAAAGCCACAAGTCAAACTCAACTCTTTAAAACTGAAGTCCCACCTTAGATCGAGATAAGATTCCTAAGCAGAGGTGAGTCCTTCACAAGAAACAGATGGATTCTGATCTGAAACATGCACCTGCCTCACTTACACTATTCTCAATCTCAAATTTCCTCATTCTTTCTATAAACCGCTAAGCAGTACGTACCATAAAAGAAAAGTTGCCAAAATATATCCAAAAATACTTCCTAACACACCTTGGGTGTCATTTTGTTTATTAGTAGGCGGAGGGGAGTCTTGCAAAACCAAAAATAAAGCCACAAAATGCATCTTCATCCCCACTCTCCAGCACCTAAAAAACTACATTCTACATTATTTGACACTGGGAATACATTTGAATTTGCAACCAAAAAAATCTCCTACAGCTCCAGGATAATTTAGTCCCAAAACATCAACTCTGCTTTAACAAGAGCAAAATACAATGTTGTTGAGACATAAATTGACCAAAGAAATTTTTTATTTTTTACTTTTTATATTTTTGTCAAGTGAGGCGAAAAAAATTCCCCTTCCTTCACTTCCCTTCCCTATGGCTGGTCACTCTAATGACCGAGCTTATGTTGCGATTTTGTTTAGCCATCCGTTCCCTCCTTTCTTCTTCTTCTATCAACCTAGCCTGCTCTTCGTCCTCCCTTCTTGCGATTAGCACACTGCAACATCACGACAAATATATAATCTCAGAAAGGCTCATACACCACAATGTACATTATCTATCAGATACAAGTGCAGTTAGTGTTAAGAAATAACATAATCATGATACTTTACGATAGTGAAATGCCATGCTTACCTTCGTCTCTCCTCCTTCATAATATCCTCAAAGTTCGCCTCCATATCACTATCATCATCGTCACTAGCGTATCATTCTGGTTGACTGCAAGAATTTCGGATTGATAATTAGAACAATATTATACAGTTCCTAACTTCCTTAACCACCAAAGTTTCAAACCAAGTTGAAATTCTTGTAATGGGCATCTCCCAATACGCTCGGCTCTAGTAATGGCCAACACCAGGCAACTTTCAATCTCTGATATTTTACAAAATCATTCCATAAATTCCAATTTGTTAAGATCAGGCATGTCACCAAGTTAAAATACCTTCACGCTTCAATTGTATATAAAAATATGTATTCAACTGAAATATAAACAAACATATTTGGCAGGCATTGATTTGACCAAAAAGAGCTAAACTGCATCCAGTAGCCTAATGTCATTTCAGCAAAGCTGAATTTTGAAATCAACCTCAGGCTTTACAACCATTTAAAAATTAAGAACAAAAGAATAAAAAATAATGAAAACGCTACTTACCGAAACATTTCTCTGATCTTACTTCTAAAATCCAAAGCCGGTTCATCATCATTCGGGTGCCGTCTCATAGGCTTCCCTTTGGGAGGACGCTCTTGAGACACAGGACGTGACGAGATTTGCCTTCGCATTTGTGGCTTGTTTACGTGCTAAATTCCATGAAAAATTAACAGATATTATGCACTTACCAAACAGGCCCTTAGGTTTGAACCCGAAAACAGAGTCATGCAATGCCAAATCCATGGAATTGAACAGAGCCTATATGGGTTTTGGTTATAATGTCTGATTTGACGAAAATTGCCGATTTTGAACAGTTGTTTCAGTTCACCATAATAAAAATTAGGGTTTTCTTTTGTGATTTTTCAAGAACTTTGCATTTGTAATTGTTCAATTTGAGAGGGAAATGCGGGGATATGATAGAGATGTAAGTGTAAACACGAATTTTCCTGAAACAAGAATACGTGTACAAAATATATTTTGTATTAATGATTTTAGGGTTACAATCTCTTTGTAATTTGATCCTCTGATTCTATCTTCGTAGAGTGTAGGTTTGTGGATGAGTTGTTAATCCAAAGGGCCGTCAGGGCTTGATCTAGGGATGAACAGTTGATGAATGGATCTTCAAGGGCCGCTGGGCTTGATCTTGAAGAATGGGTGTATGGGTTTGTTGATTTTTTTTTTTTTGGTTAATCCAAATGGTCGTTGGGGCTTGATCTTAGGATGAACAGAAGATAAACGATAAACATTTTCTTCAAGGGCCGTCAGGGCTTGATCTCGAAGGTTGAGGGAAGTTTCTTCAAGGAACGTCGGGGCTTGATTTTGAAGGAGGATTTGACGAAGAACGAAGAAGGTTTTACTGATCCTTCAAGATTTGCTTGAGAGCTTTAGAGTTTTAAAGCTTCAAGGTTTTGGTGTGATGTCAATTCCTCCTCTTTTCCTCTTGATGGAGAAGGTTATTTATAGGCCGAGAGAGTGAATCACTACCATCCATTTTTTGGTGAAGTGAGTGGATATTGTAGGTGAAATAAATGGAGTTGGTAGGTGAAGTAAGCACTTCAAGGCGTATCGTATACATGTATTTGTCACATGTAGAAGATGCATTTTGAAGTCCCTTAATGTAGATGTCAATCTAAGGGCTGTCGAGGCTTGATCTTGAATTGGGCTGGAAATTTCTTCAAGGGTCATCGGGGCTTGATCTTGAATTCGACTAGAAGATTTTCTGGTTTCCTCCAATCCTTGATTTTCCACAGGCTTAATCTTGAACTGGGTTGGAGGGTTTTTTGGTCTCCTTCGAAGGTCTGAACTTACTCCTTTTATCTGGAGTTGAATTTGATTTAAGGGTGGCGAACACTTGATTTTGAATCGGACTTGTGATTTCTTCAAGGGCCATCGAGGCTTGATCTTAAATGAAAATAGGACCATGAGTGGTTTCAGGATTCAGACATGTGGCAAGCAAGCACGAGATGGAGGTGATGGCCTGTTTCTTTGTTCAATCTTTCCAATTCATATTGAAGAGGGTTAGGGGATGAATCAACACGTGCAGTTGTTGCGTTTGCTGACGATCCACAAGATTGATGTTTCATTGTCACTCGCCTTAGCTCTTCTCCAGGCAGACGTGATATCTTCTCTGGAAGTGTATCAATTGTTGAAGACGACTACTCGAGAGCAACACTAGGTAAGCAATCAGGGAATAGGTTCCAGGCAGTTGGTTCCAGATCGGAAGGCTGATTCCAAGTGCCAACTGATTGCTCTCTTTCTCATTGCCCTGCAGGTAAGAACAAAGACAAAGGAAAGGACACGAAGAAAGCATGATATGAGATACTCTTACTTTTGACCATGATGATATGAGATACTTTTGCTTTTAAAGAAGTACTGGCGATTTGATGGCGTCGCGCGGTGAGGCTTTGTTCCTTAGCGACGGTGTCAGCGGAAGGTTGTTGAGGCTTCTTAAGCTCTTTGATTAGAAAAACTATATCGAGCTTGGATTTGACTTAAACTCATCTGTCTGGATTATACGGTTCTGCAGGGGAGGGCGTCGTGCTACAGTGATTTGTTCCAGCTCCTTGTACTGCATTCTTCTTTGCTTGTTTCTTTTTGCATAGCCGAGGTGGTGCGCAACCCTTTACCTTCAAATGGTCTTTTAGAGCATCACTTCTCAGCTATTCTTCCATGCTTGGCAGCTTCAATGTAAAGAGCTGACATCGTGTCAACTGTCTTGAAGTATTTGCTAAGGGAATTAAAGACTTACTAGCAGTTGAAGAAGAGCACTCAAGAGCATCGCTAGGTAAGCAATCAAGCAAAGGTTCTAGGCAATCAGTTCCAGATCGGAAGTTTAATTTCGAGTTTCGACTGATTGCTTTCTTTCTTCTTGTCTTGCAGACAAGAGCAAGGGCAAAGGAAAAGTCAGGGGAAAAAGCATGATATGAGATACCTTTACTTTCGTCCCTGATGATATGAGATACTTTTGCTTTCGAAGAAGTAGCAGATGAATCAGCACATATATTTGTTGCGTTTGTCTCCACATGCTTCGATCTACTGTCTCTTTCTGCCTTATCCGTTCTCCAGGCATCTGGTATCTTCTTTGAGGGTACATCAACAGTTGAAGATGAGTACTTGAGAGCAGTGTTGGGTAAGCAATCAGGGAAGGGGTTCCAGGCAGTCGGTTCCAGACGAGAAGCTTGATTCCAAGTGCCGACTGATCGCTCTCTTTCTCTTTGTCTTGCAAAAAAGAACAAGAACAAAGGAAAGGACGTGGAAAAGGCATGCTATGAGATACTCTTACTTTCGACCCTAATGATATGAGATACGTTTGCTCTTGAAGACTTGGTTGAATAGGTGTTTTCAAGGAAGAAGAAAACTAAGCATATTGAGAGGTTTGGTTGTAGCTGCATTCTTGGCAAAGAAGAAGAGTCATGCATTTTGGTTGTATGCCTTGCCATGAATGTTGACATATATAGGGATTTTAATAGCAGGTAGTGGTGCGGGTGCAACTTTGTCACCCACACTTGTCGGCAAAAGTGTGGTAGTTGGGATAGTGAACTCCATGCGTTTTCAACTTTGTCAGAGATCTTTGGCAAAGTTGCACGCGTTATCTAAAAGTTGAGATTGCGTCTAAAAAGCGTTGATGAACTTTACGTAGGAAAATCCGGCTTTTAAGATTTGAAGAGTGGTGTCTCTTCGATTTTTTTTTTTTTTTTTTTTTTTGAATTGGTGGTTGTGTTGCCTCTCCTTTTATAGAGGTATCGATCACATCCAACATGCATACTTTGAAGATTGCCTGTTCGTGAAAATCGTCTCCGGTGTATTTTTTTTTTAGATTTTACTTCATCCCACCCTTTTCTTTTAACATATTTGAAAATGGCTAACTCATCTAACATTTGCTTGGATTTGAGTCTCAGCGGTGATACAGGTGTGCTGCATCAGGGTAATATATGGTGCTCGTCTTTCTTATCTTCTAATGGCCCTCTTACAGGTGAAGACTCCGTGATGAGGGATGCAACAACGGCTACGGTAGTAGCTAGGAACCTCCTCACTCCTAGAGATAATAGGCTGCTTTCAAGACAGTCCGATGAGTTGGCCGTTCAAGAGTCCCTAGCTCTCAATGTTCAGTGCGCGGGCTCTGTGTACAACATGGGCCAACGCCTACTTGCTCGAACCCGTCAAATTGAATCATTGACGGCTGAGGTGGAAAATCTTAGACAAGAGATCAGATAGCTTAAGCGTGAGAATAGAGATTTGCACATGCTTGCAAATAATTATTAGACGAGCATAAAGATGAAGCTTGATCAGTTGCAAGAATCTGAAAGTCAAATTCAAAGTGACCATCAGAGGTTTGTGGCTTTCTTCCAAAGGCACCTTTTGCCTTTGTCATCTAGCGTTCAACCAAGTATTAAGGCTTTGAATAATCTATCTTCAATGCCTTCCGCTTCTAGGGTTTTGCCAAGTAGTGGGGCTTCACGTGAGCAATCTTTGTAAGGCTCCCTCTTTTTTCTTTCTTTCTTTTTTTTTTTCTTTTTTTTTTTTTGGTACGCATTTGTAATTTCTCGGAGATATCAATAGACATGCTTTATTTCATTCAGCGTATTGTGCTAAATATAGATAAAAAACATATATCTCACCAAGATGTGTTACTTTCCTTTTTTTTTTCTTTTATATATATATATATATATATATTTTTTTTTATTGTACTTTTCCAAGGTGGTGCTGTGCACCATCCTTCCTATTTTCTTCTTTGCAATAACTTTGTCGCCACCACCTCTTTTCCTTTTCCTTCTTGACTTGCTAACAGTAGCTTGCAATTGTGAGTGGTTTCAGCTTTTGGCATTGTGAGAGCCGAATGCCCTCTAATCTACTAATTTAAACAATTGGCAGCTGGTGCTGCCTTTGAAAGTGTTTCCCAACATCATCATTGCTGCCTTTTTTTTTTTTTTTTTTTTACCTTCACATGGTGCTCGAAGCCTTTATAATTGATACACACACACACACACACGCATATATACATATATATATATACATATTATTTATTTATTTATTTGCACAGTCATCTTATTACATTC